TAACATTTGGGGGGTGGGGGGGCTGTCCCACAGTAGTCAGAGGGTCAACTTCAAAGGAGGGAGAGGTTATTTCTGAAGGGGCAGTGAGGGACTACCCACAAGGGAGGGGCCAACTTTAAAAGTGGGAGTGGTCATTCATTGTGGGTGGGGCTAACACATGAGGGGTGGAGCTATTCCAGAATAGAGTGGGTCAACTCCTCAAATGGGCTGTGTCATTTCATAGGGAGCAGGATCAACCCTATTACAACAAAAAGTGGGGTAACCTTCAAAAACAGAGGGGATTATTGGCTAGGTGGCGTCACTGACACAGATGAAGGGAGGGCCATCCCACAGGGGCTATTACATAGAAGTAGGAAGGATTGTGTCCGCTTTTGCGCAAAAACTTGCTGCCTATCTACACTGGCCATGAGTATTTGTGCAAGAACACTGTACAAAATCAGTGCTTCTTGCGCAAATACTCCGGAGCTCACGCTCAGGGATAATCCCTCTTGCGCAAGTATTCTTGTGCAAGAGGGCCAGTGTAGACAGGCATGTTAATTTCTTGCGCAAGAAAGCCCGATGGCTAAAATGGCCATTGGAGCTTTCTTGCGCAAGAGAGCGTCTACACTGACACGGATGCTTTTGTGCAAAAGATGTCTTTTGCGCAAAAGCATCTGTGCCAGTGTAGACGCTCTTTTGCACAAATACTTTTAACGGAAAAACTTTTCCGTTAAAAGTATTTGCGCAAAATCATGCCAGTGTAGACGCAGCCTAATAGTGTTAATGTAAAAAAGTAATAAACAAATAGCTCTGCAGTACTTTAGAGACTAACAAAAAATGTAGATGGTATCATGAGCTTTGTAGATGGTATCATGAGCTTTCATGGGCACAACCGGTTGTGCCCATGAAAGCTCATGATACCATCTACAAAGCTCATGATACCATCTACATTTTTTGTTAGTCTCTAAAGTACTGCAGAGCTATTTGTTTATTACTTTTTTACATTAACACTATTAGGCTGCGTCTACACTGGCATGATATTTATTTTGAAATAACAAAATGCACGTCTACACAGCAAACCATTATTTCAAAATAATGTTGAGATGGAGGACTTCTTACCCCCACTCCAGTAACCCTCATTTCATGAGGAGTAAGGGAAGTCGAAGGAAGAGTGTTCTTCCTTTGACATTTTGCTGTGTAGACAGTTCCAAAAGCTGAATTAAACTATTTTGTGTTCAGCTAGGCAGTTGACGTAGTGACGTAGTGAAATTGTGTATCTTAATTCAACTTTTGCCCTGCTGTGTAGACATATCCTGAAAGTGTTAATCTACATTAATAGTGGGGCTATTCAGTGGGGATGTTCTACAAATGAGAGGGGGCATGCCACAGGCAATAAACACAACTAACACATTTGAAGGGTGGGAAGATGCAGGTAATAAA